TGTGTCTCAGAAATCTCTACTCCATTACCTTTGTGGTTTCTGATGTGTCACCACTAAATTATGTTTAATGACTGAAGTGTTTGTTCATATTCTGTGTGACATATCGGGTTAGTTCATTTCCAAATACTTTACATACTATATTGACACAAACCTACAGTGTTCGAGCACAATCGGCGTTTTCTAAAGTCAAAAACAGTCATGACAGAGTGCTATATGGTGAAAACGAAGAGATACTATAGCACAACTATCTGACCCTTTTTGAGCTCATGAACCACCACACCATGCGGGTCCCCATTTCGCCTTCCTCTCAGCCAGTTTTCTACCTAACGCTGCATTTTTCTGGGGAGCACCAACTGGCATGAAACCCAGTTAACCTGAGGTTGTGGTCGAAATTATAATGTTGACTTTCTTATTTGCGCCTGTTATTATTTTTCAAGGGCACGTGTGGTTGGAGGCGCCACTGCGACACACACGTGGAATTGATCCCCGGGCCCATGGCTCACCAAGCCTTCCATCTCTCCTGGGTCGGCAACTTGGTACCAGACTTGTCTGGGAGGATAGCAGCTCTGGCACGATACATCCGTAGACCACCTGATGTAATGGCCAGATATGTATTCAATCATTTCCAACGATACTTAAGTCGAATGCATGGGGCACCCCTCAGGGATTGATCAACGCCGAGAGCTTTATCCTTTATTTTTACTATTTTTCACGCCAATGTATGCTATAAAACTGTACGGACTATTGATGGACCACCGTGGACACCTGCGGTCCGAAGTTTTGCAAATATCTCAACATCATGTTGGTTGAATTTTCATTATTCTCCCGACACTCGAATAACAACAGAATAGGACACTAAACAGATAGGATGCTGAAATAATAAAGTTCTTTCAGTATATCAAAATCTGGAAGGACTGTTGTGATCTGTATTGAAAGCGCACGCACACCGGTTCTGGGAACATCCGATGAGTGATTAGCGATATACGCTAAGAACAATAGGAAAGGTCGTGTGGAAAATGCACCGCTCCCTATACGCCATTTATTGAAGTGGAAAAGAATTGCTGTGCTACATATACAGTAGAAGAGCAATAGGCGGATTTGATGTCCTAATGAAAACATAATTCGCTACAGCATTCATTTTTTTAACAATTAAGAATCCGAATAGGACATTTACTAGGGCGGATGCCGGTGTCAACAGTAGAGTAAACCAGAATTGCGAAAACCTCCCTGATTCTCTTCACAGACCTTCAATTTCTCTTCATCCCGTCATAGGTTTTGAAAATCTGACGAGTTAATGAAAACGCTATTGTGAGATTGATTCTAGGAGTTCGTGTTACACACAGATAAGAAGAAATCAGTAACTCCGACTTACCTTGAACGGGGTTACTGCCACTTACAATGTTTACTTACTCACATGGATGCTTTGACGGCGTATCTTCACGAGTTGTACGGACCTAAGCACATTTGCCATTAGTTTCTATGTTCATCAATCATCATGCATGGTGGCGGTTGCGAGTCTCATACTGATACCATGGTCTGTGAAACAAGTGTATATGCGAGCACAGCCAAATAATTTTGGTTACGAATACGTCCGCTCAACATGTAGGTTGGTGTCCTAGGTGACGCCTGCTCATGGACTCTACAGTTCTCTTCGGCCATCTGTCGTCTATTCTGTGACTCGTATGACTATATGACACACCAAACGCTTTTTACGTCTTCGCAAGAAGCGGCCGGAAATAGGTCAATAAGGCTGAGAAAATAGTAAGCATATGGCAACAAATCGACTAGCATCCGTCTACACCACGCTGCTACAAAAACTGTACTTTAAAATAAAATGCTTCTTATAAAAAACCTGACGCCTTTCGTTTCTCAATCTCTGCAAAGCCTTGAAGATTATGACAAAATATAACTTCAGTGGTGCTGAGATATTTGCAAAACTCCGGACCGCAGGTGTCTGCGGTGTGGAAGGGACGCGCTATTGTCCTTTCCCTGGAGTAATGCGTTCACCACTACACCATGCGAGTACTTCGTTTCTTCTGTCCCCTCTCAGCTAGTTCTACCGATCTCTGCCTGGAGTTTTGCAAATATCTCAGCATCATTGATGTTATATTTCGCAACATACCCTGCCATTAAAAAGAGTAGGCAGTAAATAAGTTAAAATTAGGACAAAAGTTGGCAAATTGAATGCAACCTGCACAGCTCCACCTTGATGAATCTGCTCGAGTTTCTGAATAAAAGCGTCTCATAGCGAATTTCACTCTGTTGTCGTAACACGATTTTGGACGTCTATCCATCCTTCACTCGCACTCGTAACAGCACGGTGAAATCCCCGAGACGTCGGCCATCGACCAACAACAACGAGAACAACAACAACAACAACAATAACAACAACAACAGCAACAACAAAAATCAGTTTATTGTTACTTGGTACTTGATACGTGAATGTATGTAGTAGTAGTATCAAATCAGTTCATAAGAGCATATAAATCAGTTCATAAGAGCATATAAATCAGTTCATAAGAGCATATAAATCAGTTCATAAGAGCATATATCGACCACTTGTGCAGAGGTTTATAGAAAGCTGGTCTTTTGAGTTATCTTGAAGGTGTTAAATAAACGAATTGTAGTTTTCGCTAATTTTCTCGACATCGATAACTCACCAAAAGCCAGATTAAGAGAAAAAAAAGGTCCTAAATGATAACCGTTAGTTGAATTGTGATAGCTCTAGAGTTTTTCTTCCCAAGTTAGATAGCCATTCTTTGATTTCTCCTCGCGTGAAACAGAACCTTAGAAGGTTTACTCGAATACTGTTGGGATACTCTGGGCAGGAAGGTCAACGATCAGAAAAATCGTCCAATTCAGGATGACGCGATCATTTTCAATATGGCAGTTTTCACATGAAGATCCCATATGCAGGAGAAGCTTTTCCAATAGTGAGTTTTCCCGAATGGTCTTTGGCTTCGTCATAAATCCAGGCAGCCTCTTTTCCTGTCCGTTCTAGCCAGCGGATACCATTTGAGGTTATGCGCACCATCTGACGAGCACCGTCAAAGCTAAAATCTTCTCAGTTGTAGACCGCTAACAATTTTTTCTTGTACCGTCCTTCACAATGAAGCCAGCAAAAATTACCATGAAAAAAATGTTCTTCATTTTGGAACTCCTTTAATTTCACATTTAGGAATTATATTTAATTTCTGTTATAACTTGTTGGGGAGTGGCTGAGAGGGACTCTCAGGACCGAAATCTCTTCAGCTTTAAACGACCGACCAGGTTCCTTATTTCTTTATTGACACGGATGCTCATATTCAAGCTCGTACTGCCTACCATACCAACTTTGCTAAGCTAGCAGTGCAATGCAAAGAAAAAAATCTACGGCAGTTACGTAAACCGGATATTGAGAACAAAGTCTTCTTGTAGCTGTCATTTCGACGAAGTAGTACATTAGTATTACCAGCTTGCAGTAAAAGGTCATTGAGGGTGGATGAATCCAACTGGAGCACGTCTGCCTTAGGTATTGACAGTTATAGGAGTTTTCAATCTTCGCCGCATTTCGTGACCGGTCCTCCGAGTCTAGTGGCTCCACCGTATTCTCCTTTATGAATGCCGCTATACTAGGATTTATTTGCATTTAGAACAATAAATCCCAAGGTGTAACAACCTCGCGATTGTGAACAAGAAAGCGACGCATTTATAAGTCTATTTTTCTCAAAATTATTTCTGGTAACGCAATGATCACGTGTATCTAACCGATCTAGGTGGTGTGGCTGGATGACTAACAATTTTTTTCACATGACCCTTCGTCACAATTACGGTGTGGATGTCAGTACTTCTTGCATTCGATTTATTTCCTTGCATATCGAAAGCGACTTTCCCTGAACCTCAGTGTGACTAATCAATATGCATTCTTTCTTGATAAGCTTGCACGAGGTTGATAAATATATTTATTTTCGGCTAACGTTTCGACGTCTTCGTCTTCCTCAGAGCCGATGATCCGAGTCGATGGTCCATGATTGTTGTTCGTCTCGACGTTGCAGCTTCGCCTTCGTGTCGAGCCAGGTCTTCCTCAGTGATCCATCTTCTCGAATCTCGAATCGAGGGGGGCGAAGGCCACGAAGGCGAAACTGCAACGTCGAGACGAACAACAATCATGGACCATCGACTCGGATCACCGGCTCTGAGGAAGACGAAGACGTCGAAACGTTAGCCGAAAATAAATATATTTATCAACCTCGTGCAAGCTTATCAAGAAAGAATGCATATTATTTCCTTGCATTCATCGTCCACAAAGGTCGTTAGATATTTCACGTATTGTTTCGGCCGGGGCTTGAAGATTTCACTTTCGTCATGACTGTCGTAGAATGATTAGAATGGTCCCCAATTAAACTTTTCTTGCAATCTTGGAGATACTTGAGCTAGGGCGTTCCACCGTGGGTTTGAAAAGAGCGTTGGGAGAGGGCAAGACCAACATCTTGATCCTGATGATCTGAAAGCTGCAAGCTTTTGTTTAAACCACCAGACAGGATGACATCTTCATACACGCACGACTATACATGGATATGTCTACGTACATACAGAAATCATAAGTCAAACTTGCGCAGCAGAGACTTGTAACCAACACTCTGTATCGATTCGAGTTACAAGACAAGTGGCCGCTCTTAGGCTGTAGTTAGGCTCTTTATTCGCGAATTCAACGAAACTGCGTGACTATGCAGACCTTCAGGGGAGCTCAATTCGTATAAACGACATCATATGCCGGGGACGTTATTTCATGCTTAGTCTGAAAGAAAATGGAATTTATTTCATGCTTAGTCCTAGAGGAAATGAAACGGCACAGTCTGAAAAAAAGAAGAAAAGTTAACCCATGGGCTAGGATGGATTAAGTGCGCTCACGAAGGGGAAGTCCGTATACTTGACCGGTAGTGATTTCATTGAAAACAATCTTTTATTACTTTGCACATTTATTGCAAGTGAATACCATGGTTTTATGTACCAAATCACATTCATATAAGTACAAGCTCGACAAAACGAAAAATATCTGCGGCAAATGTATTGGGATCTTGCAAATGCTGGAACACCCCTCCCTTAGGGGCCTTTGTGTAGGAGGTTAAGTTAAGGAATCGATGCCGACATATTGATTTAGAACTGTGCCATGGTACGTCTGGTGACTGCAGAATAGCACTGGGAACACGAACTTGTAGCCTGAAATTCAAGGTGTTGCTCAAAACAGATACCAAGAGATGAGACTGTGACTCTAGCTGTTTACTGATAGCCTCCAGATCCTCTATGAATATAAAAAAATAGTGTAAACTAATGCTCAAGTTATTCTCTATTAAATCAGAAAAAATTTATTTATAATGCTGCTTTACTTTCGTTGTAAATCCTCCTCTTCCTTTTTCTATCGAGGGCGGAATCACCAGTGACTTGTTGTTTCACCGTCGGGCCAGTAGACGGAGAAAAGGCATGAAAAATTTCAAGAGGCAAACCGTAAAAATCACGCGCTTAGATTACAAAGCTAGTTTTCTAAGTGAAACATATGACACCCTGCGACGACAAATGAGTTCTTGCAATGTTTCTAAAGATGCATTGCTTTTCCACGTAACGATGAAAACGCATTTTATAAATTCAAAGTTCTTTCATCTACGTTTCACAGTTACATCTAGACGGTTCTCCTTAATGGAATACCATCTTACCGATGTGACTTGATGTTCTTAGTACCCGAATTTTGATGTTAAAGTACTACGGAGACATGTTAGTACACTGGTCACCAGTGATTGTCGCAATATTATTCTACTTGTACACTAGGAAATAATCATATCAAAGGGCATAACCGAGTGAGTATGCCTCAATCGAGGAGACGGTCCGCTGAGGAAGACCTGACTTGACACGAAGGCGAAGACGCCACATGGAGACGAAGAAAAGCTGTGGACTATCGACTCGGGTCATCGGCCCCGATGAAGAAGAAGAGGTCGGAACGTTGGCCGAACAAAAATTGTTTGTTAACCCGTGCGAAAAAATAGAGGTTAGCTTCTCTGTAAAATCAGAAGTTCATCGCAATAGATTAATAAGGCCTGGATATTGTTTAGGTTCTATTGATTTTTATCCCAATTCATAAAATATTCTATAGGCCGATATGCATGTTTAGATCTGAGATGCTCAGCCACCTTTGTATGGGAATCAATCCATTTCATCCAAACTATCCTCTGACGACAAATGTTTACAACTTAGGTCCTTTAGAATATGTTAACATAACGATTTTAAACCAGAAATTCATGAGGTTAAACCACCTACCGCTGCTTGGGCAAATAACTGTCAAAGAAGTTGCGCATGATTCGTAAGGCATGTGGTGTGGTCTCGCTAAGATAGTAGAGGTAGGAAATGGTAGCAAGTTCGTCCAGCGTGAAGAGCCTATTTGGCAGTATGGGTGGATCACGTGATGAGAAAAACGACCACACAGACATCAAATAGGATGATGTTCCGACAACAGACGAGACCAGAGCGTCACCTGAAATACGAAATTCGTGGTGAACGGGCTAATATTGGATAAAATAAATCGAAATGATGGAAGCTGGAAAGCATTCTATCTCAACTCAGCTGTTATAAGCTTCAAAGGCTTTTAAGCATGCAATTTTAACAATTAGAGCACGATGCTTATGGATTTCCACTAACATATGACAGGGCAAGTGAACCTGCATGAATTGGTATCAACTCATGGTTAAGCGCCGAAAATCTAGGTGTCAAATAGATGCGTAAGCCACCGGAATCTCGGTTTCATACTCTCAGTGTTAATAAGCGAAAGAGTAGAAAGATAAACATGGAAAGGAATTTTGTATAATCTCGAGCTTCTCCACAAAACGTAGATATAGATTTCTGACATGGGACTCGGTTTACGAATTTCAGTCTCTCATAGCAATAGGCTTAAACGCAATAGAGCGCAATGGAAACATTGATTTCTATCGTAACCTTAGCTAAACCAGGAGTGTGGAATTTAGACTTCACAATACGAATACTTACTCACCTACTTGATACCTAAATGGCCCGTCCTCACTGGTTGTGCGGGCCACAGGATAACCTCCATTTTTCGGAGATTTGCTGGTTAAGCCACTATGGTTCCCTAGAGTCCCGAGGTCACCCTAGCCAAAGTCTGCTCCAGGTTTTCACCACCACAGGTAGTCGTAGCCCTTGTGGATCAGAGGAAGATTTACCACCATGCGACCTTGATACCAGGACGGTGGTGGATCCTGGTATTGGTTTACTCTTAGCTAGGCTTCCTGATGGAAGCGCCGGACTTCTTCCCAGCTTGGGAGACACTCCCAGCTTGGGAGACACTCCCAGGCAATGGATCCCCGCTGTACAACGCAGTCCAATATCCAGGAACACCCAGCCACGATAAGACGGTAAACCGTTGGGAAGAATGCGAATACCACAACATCTAACTATATGAGTAACAGATTAGCGCGCAGAATTTGATTAAAAGGATAAATGATAGAGCTCTCAGCGTTGATCAATCCCTGAGGGATGCGCCATGGATTAGACTTCATTAAGTATCGTTGGAGGTAATTGAATGCATATCTGGCCTTTACAATGACTCGCGGTGGCCTACCGATGTATAGAGCCCGTGCTGCTATCTTCCCAAACAGATCTGGTACCAATTTTCCGAACCCGAAGTGATGGAAAGCTTGGTAAGCCATGGGAGTGGGGATCGATTCCACGCGCGTGTCGCAATGGCGCCTCCAACCACTGCACCACACGCACCCTTTCGATCAACTCCCGGAAAATGTCTAAAGAAACCAGTTTTTTTCTCAATAAATAACTAAAAATACAGCCAACCTACTATATCACCGCTAGGGACGAAGAGCCATTCCTCTTTCAGAAATTTGTCGGTCGTCAACGGAGCATCCTCGGCATTTTGTTCAGTGATCCATTTGAGGAGATGCTTCGTAAATACCTAGGCAAAGCATCGAGAACATTGTCACCGACTCTCAAGACTGTGGAGATAGTCGTACAGATATACTCTTCACTTTTCCGCAACCCCAGCTTTCTCTACGAAAGGGATTCATTTAAATGTTGTTTCAACGCGAGCGATTTTTCTCCACACGGAGCTAAGTAGTGGAATTTCGATGATATTGACACGAAGAATCGCCAGAAAACACACGTTTGAACATTACTTCTTCCTCTTTAATGTTCTGGTCGATTGTTGTTGTGATAACTTGTTCTGGTGCTACCAAGGAGGCTCTTCCTTCTATGGTTTTAGCAAAGAACAGAGGACCCTTTTTCTTACCGCTGGTGACAAACCACCACTGATAGCCATTCTTTCTTCTTTATTGTAATTACTATTACCTGGTATCGACGTTCTTCGTTTTTGCGAAGTCGGATCCTTGACATAGGATGAATTCTTGAACTTTTTTAAAGCAAATTCTTTTACAGTACTGCGATTTCCTGTATCAAGGCAGTTGAATTTTCCTCAAACAGACACTGCAGCTCTCTACAACACCTTTTCATTCCGATCATAGAGCACATCGACACGATCGAACTTCAGACGATAAGATAAAAAAAACGATAAAGCCCCGGCGCTGATCAATCCCTGAGGGATCCGCCATGCATTCGGCTTCATTAAGCATCGTCTGGAGGTGACAGAATGCTCATCTGGCCTTTACAATGACTTGCGGTGGCCTACCGGTGTTTCGAGACAGTGCTGCTATCTCCCAGACAAGTCTGGTACCAATTTGCCGACCACGAAGGTATAGAAGGCTTGGTGGGCCATGGGCGCAGGGATCAATTTCATGGGTGTGTTGCAGGGCGGCTCCGACCACTGTGCCACACGCGCCCTTAATTGAGGTGGTAATCAGCAATGAAACATTTTTGGATGAATCCTCATTTGCACTTCTTAAACAGCTACTTCATTTTGTGAGCCTCTGAAAATACTTCTAACGCAAGACAAGGAGCTTCCAAATCTGCATAGAATTACTGCTGTCAATTTCACAGCTGAAAAATTACCGAGCAATTATCATAAAAAATGGTACCTGTGGCGAAAATTTTGGATGAACGACAGGATTGCTGACATGAACTCCTCTTACGTTGTAAGGGTAGAGAGCACCTATCACAGCTGCAACTTCACTTCCCAGCACTGAAATACTTCCTGATCACGTTTCTTAGTGTATGCTTACGTGTTTGTGTAGTTGCGTGCCCGCGTGCGTGCGTGCGTGCGTGTATGTGTATGTGTGTGATACAGAAATATAGGTTGTTCTAATGTTAGGATGCGGTAGAATAAAGAATAGTTTTTATCTTTCTGAAAAATGAATGACTCTACGCGAAAATAGATTAATCTATTTTTACATTCTGATCCATGGACAAAATACTGAGGAACGCTGAGACGATTCATCAACTTCGCAATGATTCTCGCCATATCCGTTACTCTCAAGCCTAAAATATTGTTAGAAAAACTTACGCCAGATAAAATCTATAATTTCGACGTAAATGTTGGTCTGTCAACTGCTAGATGTAGCGTTGCATACACCAACTTGTTATCTCGACAGAAGGAATTCACCAGCTTTTGATGGTTTTGTGGAGAAGACGAATCCCGGTAAGCTGGGCACAATCACATCGAACACTATGGTTCTCTTTACACCAAACTCGAAACCAAAACGAGCAGGATTCGCCAGATTCGGAATAACCTATATCAATTCTTTTCAATGAGACAGTTTAGTGATAAAGTAGTGTTACTGTTTGTATACCTCTCTACATGGGAAACTTTTACCATTCTTGTGACAGTGGATGGAGTGATTTTAATCCAGGAAGTCACAGTAGTAGTCATACTGTCACAATATAGGCAACTCATCAGTTACATTGAGGATGTGAAAATCTTATTTTCTTACATAGTGCTGTCAACTTTATTAAAGTAGTAACACTGATTTTTGTTCTAACTTATTATTTACTATTTTCTACCCTTTCAACGGCTGGGTATATTGCGAAATATAACTTCAATGATGCTGAGATATTTGCAAAACTCCGGACCGCAAGTGTCTGCGGTGGGGAACGAAAGTCTCTCAGCTGGTTTTGTCGATCTTTTGTCATCAGGCGAAACGAACGACCCGCATGGTGTGGTGAACGCGTTAATCCCCGGAAAGGGCAATAGCGCGGTCGTTACCCACCGCAGACACCTGCGGTCCGGAGTTTTGCGAATATCTCGACGTTATTAATTTTTGTACTTGTATTTGCAATAATATCGATTGGTACCGGGCTTGTCTAGGAAAGAAGCCACTCTCTGCAATTCAACTGGGAACGCTCCAGCCCGGCTCAATCCAATTGGGAGCACTCCAGCCCAGCTATCTCAGGACTCCAGTGAGAACTGCTCGACCAGCATTCTAAGGTATTTAATATGAAATGAAAATCCACAAGCTGCAACCGAAGCTACACGTATAAACTTGGAAGGCCTTCCTGGAAAATGAATGCGAGGAAACAAATCGAATGTGAGAAGTGCTGAGATCCGCACAGTAGACGTGAAGATGGGTCATATTAGATGAAATAAAATGAAATAAATAATACTGATTTATATTAATGACGTTAACTGCTATTACAATAAAGTAAAATATGTTTATCCAGTCCAGAAATTATGAACGTCATCGCAAATAACTCTTTGCACTCTCTTCTGACAATGTAGACAAACTTAAACTGTACCTTATAGAAATCCCAGTAACATCCAGGAAATCCATGTAGGAGCACGATTGGTACCGTATCCTTGCCCGCTTCCTTTGGGATCGATACACGCAGAAAATGGATGGACAGACCTTCTATCTCTGTTCTTAATATGGCATTCTATAGAAGATTAGTCACTATTCTTGAAGCACTGTAACTACTTTTTGCATTGGCAGGTTTCTTTTTCTATGGGCATTGTTTCGAAGGAGATTGGAGAATGAAGAGGGTGAAAGACGATGAAGCATGTAAAATCTGGTTTCTGCTTCGAACACATCACAGAATATTCGTTAGGTTAAAGGTATTGGAGATCACTCGTTTTCTTTGCAAATAAAACCAGCTGCTTACCTGTACTGCTTGAACGTGTTGAGGAAATTCTGATGTTGTACCCAATCAAATGTCTTCAACATATGCGTCAAATTTCTTATAAATGAGTGACGTTCCACTGAATGGGCAACATCATCAAGCGGAGGAAGCAAGAGATCCATTGTTATGGAGTTTTTGAGCCGCTTTATCCTGAGTAGATTACATAAGAGGCTCGTATTGATAAATTAATTGTATCGATCGCTTGAGGCTGACTTCTCTTCAGGGATATCCACACTGAACAAACTGACTCTTTCGTCGTCCTTCGCACCCTCTCCTGCTCCCCAGTATGCATCCTAGAAAATAATATTCAGATTGACTGATTTCTAACATTTCTCACGTATCAGATATAGTTAAGCACTCAAACTCGGACTGCATGCAGATTTAGATGTAGAGGTTCAAACCTATATGAGAAACAGAATACTGGAAAGCACTACAGCCTAGATGTGGGCCAGATTTTCGACGTATTCCATTAAAAATTCAGCTTATCGTCGTTCTGGCGTTGTGGCACATAATGCAATCGACCATGGAATATCCAGCTCAACAGAAAGTGGAAGACAACGACAAAATGACACAGTCTTCTTCTCGAAGAGGCCATCGTTCAGCCGAATTTGTTGATAGAAGAGAACATTCATAGACTAGATGAAGTGTGTGTGTGACGGATGGATATCAAGAAAAGGCAGTGTCAAGGTGGAGCTTAAGAGGAGCCAGAAGATATGCTTTTAAATGAATACTGTCATCGAGAAACGAGTAAGATGACCACACTATTATAATTTAACTAAAAAATTCAACAGGGGTCGGATAGCACAGTGGTAGTGATGTCCGTCATGATACAGTGATGTCGTGATGAGCATGGTTCTAGTTCGATTCCGCACTGGGCCTATCAAGCCTCTCATCCTCAGGAGTTTAGAAATTGGTACGGAAGAAAACTCCCTGCAATCCAACTAAGAACGCTCCAGGCCGGCTATCTCAGGACACTAGGGAGTACTGCTCGACCAGCATTCTACGACATTCAAGAGGAAATGAAAATCCTCAGGCAGTAGCCGAAGCCACACGCAAAAGTTGGAACAAGTTCGTCGACAATGGATGCGAGGAAACAAACCGAATGTGAGAAGTGTTGGGATCTGCACGGTAGTCTTGCAGACGGATCAAATAAATAAATAAATAGCAAATGCAATAAATCGTAGGAAATCTCCCGACCATGAATGCTGTTTTCACTGTTTTCCTAGATCTAACAGTGTTTGTAAGTGGAAATTTCACAGGAAGTGAAGATTGGGTACCATTGAACCAAACCTTGTCGCTTGTGCGATTTCACGCCCTGGTATTCGCTTGACGTGGACGAATTTTATAGAAATAACAAAATTCACCTCAACGATTGGTGTAAGTCCATGTAGAGGAACATGATCTATCCATATTGAGAAAAACACTGGAATAATGAGGAACACCAGCAGAATGAAAGCGCAGTGCCGCCATCGGTGTTGCATGAATGAGTATGATGACAGCGGTGAGTGGACAATTGGGATTGACCTCGCCGGCTGAGCAAACACTGGCACCACTTGACATCGGGAAGAGACCTGCGATCAGGGCTGTCAGGAATTCCGGAAACTAATGTCGAATTTGCAGTTTCATCTCTTTTTTATATGCTCTAGCAAGTTTTTTTTCGAATGATGCACTACTATACATCATTGTAAGGTTCACTTTATGCACTTTTGCTTAGGACAATACAAATTGTATTCTTGAGATATTTCAAAGGTTTCAGCTGTTAAAACAGCGGCTTCGACAAATTCAATTTTAAGAATTCAGACAAGGTCGTAAGCAGCGTCGTTGAAGATGAGAAATGTTATGAAAGACGGTGACGATAATTTCAAGGCCTCGATGGAAGCATTTATACAAGTCTAACTGTTCGAGAACTTGCAGGAGACTCGGCGTAAGCATCTGAACTGTCGCGGATCATCTAGAGAACTCCAAGCCATATGAATTGGCAAGACGTCGTACCACCGACACGCAGCTACATTTCGTACTTTCGAAGAGATTGGCCACAAAACTCTGCTCCATCTGCCTTACTCGTTAGACTTCAAATTCTTTTGCGTGATTCTTCGTATTTTTGTTGAGCAAACGCGAGGTGTTATTATTCTTTATTCACGAATAAGCTGACGTTTCGGCGGATTTCACCTTCCTCAGAGTCTGGAAAGGTTAAGTTGATAGCAATCTACCCGGCCAGACGCCTCCATAACCAAACAAAGAAACTCTAAACCAAGATTTCAATCACATTGAACACAGCTTTGCACACTCACCGCTTTCTATGAGGTTCCCACTAAGTATGTCACGTAGAGACCAACCGCACAGAAATCACGTGGAAGTATAATGTGCCCCTCACATCAGAAAAGCAGTTTTATATAATGCCCTATATCACGCGTGATAATGAGGCATTCTTCCCTGCGGTTCATTTTTGGATTTCTGGAATTAATCCAGAATGCCTCGAGAGTTTTTCGCGCCTGTGTTCTTGATTCGCGTGTGAGGATCGTGACACATACTTCAAAGTCCTCCCCGTAATGTCTCTGGGTGCTATGCATGCCTAACTGGGCATTTGGTCTATGTTTGCCGGCTAGGTGTTCTTTTATGCGGACAGAGAGGGGGCCCATTTCGCCAATGTATTCGTCACCGCACGTCTTACAGGAGATCAGATAAACTACACCCGAGCTCATGCAATCACCGTCTCTACCACTGGGGCAAATTATGCAATTTGGTCACATAGGCGGTTACGAACTAGCTGACGCTTAAGATTACTTGGTGGTATTTCAACTACGCTTACCGAATTCTCTAAGCCCGCCTTTCTTAAGCAGCGTTTTATAGCTGTACTTATATCATTTGAGATGAAGGGTAGGATAAACGGGACCCTTCTATCGCTAGAGTTGTCGTTTGGAGGCCTACGATTTCCTCTACACCTATTCTGAGCTACAGTTTCGTAGCCATTAGAAACGGCTATTTGCAGTGCCAAGTTCCGGGACTCCTCTCTCTGCTGTCTTCCCGTGCACACGTTGGTTGCTGTTCGAAACATGTTTCTTATAAGCGCCCTTTTCGTGTGAGAGGAGTGAGAAGAGAGGTAATGAATCAAGATGTTTTTACTACTTGGCTTTCGGTACCACTTTATAATGTAGCCATTTTCTGATAGGTGAATCTGTACGTTCAAAAATGGAAGCCATTTTTCTTTCGGCTTTTCTCAGGTGAACTTGATATACTCTGACTATTTATTCAACAACTCGAAACACTTGCCCATTTCCTCTTGTGTCGAGCAAAGGACAAAGCAGTCGTCTACATACCTACAGTAGAGTAGTGGCCCGAGATCAGTCACCGGTGCTTCCACCTTAGACCTAAATGCAATGCCAAGGCTTGGAGCCAGTCGTTGTCCCATTGCCAACTCTCTCATTTGAGCGTAGTACTTTCTGGAACATCTGAAGATTGAGCAGCTCAAGCATTCTTTTAAGAGTGCCATCAGGTGCTCTATCTTGAAGGCATACATATTTATTTCTCCTTCGTGTTGTGTAAGGAGTTCGAATATGGCTTGCATTGCGGAGTCATTCGACACGTTTGTATAAAGGGTGGTGACGTCGAAGGACTCCATCACGCACGCGCTGTTGGGCTGCGCAGTACGTAGACGATCCAGAAACATCTGGGTATTCGTAAGATGGGCTGGAATGTATTTCAACAACTAGTTAAATATTAGGGTTAAAAACCATGTTATCCTGTCCGTTGGCCCGTCTACGCAGCTAATGATAGGTCTAACCTTAAATAGTGATGGATCGGCAGACGCAAGATCATCGCTGGATACTAACTTATGAGTTTTTATAAGTAAGTACATGACGAGGCATATCGGTAAGTCAACTTCAAGTTGAGAGATAACTGATGGTTTTAAACCAGTCTTTTGCGTGAAATGCTTCGGAAACATAACAGACGGCGAAACTGCCTCTAACGACTTCATCGCCTCTAAGGGTTATCATTTTAAGCATTAGGTATAAGCAAAGTTATTTCTCGTTAGCAAAAATGTATAAATCCTAGTTGTTTCTATTCCGATCAATATTTATTTACTTACTTTTCCTGAGTTGAAATCTGCCGTTTTAAATACGCAGGTTGAAATCCGTCATCAGTTTCAGAACACAAAACAATTTATTATGAAGGAATTCGGTACCGAGAATGACTCTGAGAAATCGAATTCTAGAAAAAATATGTCAAATGCCGCTGGCAGCTCCACGGTACGGGTCCGCATCAAAAATTTACATCTCCGTTCCTAAGGTTAGTAGAAAAGAGGGAGTGCAATTCTTGGAGCGTTTCGCGCATGAAATAGGGAATGACGAGAAAACCTTGGAACGTTTGTCTGCGTGAGTATATATATGAATATCTAAGCATCGTCAAACTTTCTTATTAGTCTTAACCCTTTTATTTACTGCCTTTTTCTTCTTAATGGCAGGGTATGTTGCGAAATATAATTCGTATGAAATGCTGAGATATTTGCAAAACACCGGACCGCAGGTGTATGCGGTGCGGAACGAACGCCCGCCATTGTCCTTACCGTGGAGCAGCGCACTTCACCACCACACCATCCGGGTCCTTCGTTTTGCCTGTCTCTCAGCTAGTACTATCGATCTTTTGCCATCAGCATCGTTCGCGTTCGTTTCCCACCACATACACTTGCGGTCCGGAGTTTTGCAAATATCTCAGCATTGTATACGAGTTATATTTCTTATTAGTGTTTAATTGCGATCATCACCATCAGTTATTCTGTCTTGTACGGCTGGCAAGTGAAAGCGAACAAATTAGGATGTCTGAACACCAATGTACAAGCATAGACAGTGCCGACTTCCACACCGATAAGTATCAAGTGAATAAGAGCTCACTGTGTAGCACTTCTCAAAGTCAACTTTTAATCCTAAGCACGAATAACAATTTAGGGCGATTGTAGCGCAGTGGTTAGAGGCGCCCTGGAATACACACGTGATATTGGGTTCGACTCCGCGCCCACGGCGCGTTCATCTTTAAGGTGTCGACAGACTGATGCCATACTTGTCTGGAAGTATAGCTAAATATATTTATTTATATGATCTCATGAACTGATCTTCTTTAGCTGATGCGAGGTGGGTATAGGTCTTCGCTGTCGTTGTCGTTGTCGTTGTTGTTGGTGGCGTTGGTCGATGGCTGACGCTTCGGCGATTTCGTCTTCCTCAGAGCCTGGACGTATTTTATGCTATAAGACTTTAATTATTCAGTGGAAAAAAGGTTAAAGCATTAATGAAGATCAAACTATTAAATAGATGGTGGGCTAGGATGCTAAGGTCAAATATAGTTCTACGCCATATTGATCAGAAGGGCTACTCACCGTGATGTTACGAGTGGGACTGGCCTACGCGTTGTTCTCGTGGAGTCGCGAGTGAGACACACCCCGGGGTCAAAATGTCATTTTGAAATAGGGCGCCAGGTCACGTGTGATAGTGAGGCAGTCGTCTTTCCAGTTCATTTTTGTATTTTTGAAATTTATTCAAAACGCCTCAAGAGTTTTTCGCGTTGATGTTTTCGATTCCCACGTCAGGATCCGCACAGTCACTT